TTGAATTGAAGATTGTATAACAAAGACTAATTTCCTCGCTTAATAGGCTTCTAAAAAATGAAACTTAAAAAGCGTAAATAAAAATAACCTAAATAAACCTAAACCATCATCTGCTAACAGGTGACGTCACACTTGTTACGGATCATGCTATAATATTTTTGATACCAGTATTCACTTCTGGTGGAAACAACTGCTGCAGCGCTGACTGCTGACATGACACCTCCTGAGCATGCGCAGTGGGCCACATATTCTAGAACCAGAAGCACTGTTGAGTCTGCTATTGAGGCTTGAACAGTGTTTATAGTCCAGCTCCACCAGAGGGCGCTTTAACACAATCAGATGTGCCTATGGTGCATTTACAGAGTTTTCTTTGAAGACAATTTCATAATTATGCTTAGAAGAAACTCCAACACATTGTACATAAAGTCAGTTTATTAATAAAGTTTCCTCCAGATCACCAAAACTTCATATGGATCTATTAAAATAAGAGTAGATCAAGAAGATCAAGTGAGACCAAAGTTTATTGAACCTGCAGAGGAAACCAGATCACTGCTGTGGAGACGACAGCACACTTAGAAAGTGGTGGTGAAGTTACCATAAAAAAATCTTTATGGTGCCATTCTTTTTCTGCATCTTTATATAAAATAAAAACCTCTCCATTTGAATGTTCTGCCCCTCAGTGAGGGTAACTTTATGAGGAGAACAAAGATAATATAAACTAGTGTGTTTTACAGTGAATTTGTGGACCAGTTAGAGAACAGCAGCTAGATTCCAGAGGGTGGACTGGTGGACCACTTCAGTGATTAGATGACATTTGACTCTGCCAAAACAACAAAAATAAATAAATCCACACACAGGAGGAGAATATGAGCACAAAGCCAAGCTTCATTCTTCTCTTTATAAACAGCATGGAATGAGGACATGTCAGCGAACGCATCACAGTTAAAATAATTTAATGTTCTGCTTTTGATCATGTGACGTATTTAACTTTTTTACATATTTTCTGCTGATGTGTCAGATCACACATAGACATGCAGTGTTATTTTCATACATTTTAACCACAAGATAAATTTTTAGACAAACCATTTTAAGACAGTTTACTGGCACCAGAATATTTACTCACTGGAAAAACTCAAAATCTTACCAAGTATATTTGTCTCATTTCTAGTCAAAAATATCTCTTTACACTTAAAATAAGACACATTAGGCTAAAGAGTAACAATTCAGTGAGATACAGTGGGATGCAAAAGTTTTGGCCACCTTATTAATAGTCATTGTTTTCCTGTATAAATCGTTGGTCGTTTCAATAAAAAATGTCAGTTAAATATAT